ACCCTAACCCTAACCCTAACCCTAACCCTAACCCTAACCCTAACCCTAACCCTAACCCTAACCCTAACCCTAACCCTAACCCTAACCCTAACCCTAACCCTAACCCTAACCCTAACCCTAACCCTAACCCTAACCCTAACCCTAACCCTAACCCTAACCCTAACCCTAACCCTAACCCTAACCCTAACCCTAACCCTAACCCTAACCCTAACCCTAACCCTAACCCTAACCCTAACCCTAACCCTAACCCTAACCCTAACCCTAACCCTAACCCTAACCCTAACCCTAACCCTAACCCTAACCCTAACCCTAACCCTAACCCTAACCCTAACCCTAACCCTAACCCTAACCCTAACCCTAACCCTAACCCTAACCCTAACCCTAACCCTAACCCTAACCCTAACCCTAACCCTAACCCTAACCCTAACCCTAACCCTAACCCTAACCCTAACCCTAACCCTAACCCTAACCCTAACCCTAACCCTAACCCTAACCCTAACCCTAACCCTAACCCTAACCCTAACCCTAACCCTAACCCTAACCCTAACCCTAACCCTAACCCTAACCCTAACCCTAACCCTAACCCTAACCCTAACCCTAACCCTAACCCTAACCCTAACCCTAACCCTAACCCTAACCCTAACCCTAACCCTAACCCTAACCCTAACCCTAACCCTAACCCTAACCCTAACCCTAACCCTAACCCTAACCCTAACCCTAACCCTAACCCTAACCCTAACCCTAACCCTAACCCTAACCCTAACCCTAACCCTAACCCTAACCCTAACCCTAACCCTAACCCTAACCCTAACCCTAACCCTAACCCTAACCCTAACCCTAACCCTAACCCTAACCCTAACCCTAACCCTAACCCTAACCCTAACCCTAACCCTAACCCTAACCCTAACCCTAACCCTAACCCTAACCCTAACCCTAACCCTAACCCTAACCCTAACCCTAACCCTAACCCTAACCCTAACCCTAACCCTAACCCTAACCCTAACCCTAACCCTAACCCTAACCCTAACCCTAACCCTAACCCTAAAACTAACCCTAACCCTAAAACTAACCCTAAAACTAACCCTAAAACTAACCCTAAAACTAACCCTAAAACTAACCCTAACCCTAAAACTAACCCTAAAACTAACCCTAACCCTAAAACTAAAACTAACCCTAACCCTAAAACTAACCCTAACCCTAAAACTAACCCTAACCCTAAAACTAACCCTAACCCTAAAACTAACCCTAACCCTAAAACTAACCCTAACCCTAAAACTAACCCTAACCCTAACCCTAAAACTAACCCTAACCCTAACCCTAAAACTAACCCTAACCCTAACCCTAAAACTAACCCTAACCCTAAAACTAACCCTAACCCTAAAACTAACCCTAAAACTAACCCTAAAACTAACCCTAACCCTAAAACTAACCCTAACCCTAACCCTAAAACTAACCCTAACCCTAAAACTAACCCTAAAACTAACCCTAACCCTAAAACTAACCCTAAAACTAACCCTAAAACTAACCCTAACCCTAAAACTAACCCTAACCCTAAAACTAACCCTAAAACTAACCCTAACCCTAAAACTAACCCTAACCCTAAAACTAACCCTAACCCTAAAACTAACCCTAACCCTAAAACTAACCCTAAAACTAACCCTAAAACTAACCCTAACCCTAAAACTAACCCTAAAACTAACCCTAACCCTAAAACTAACCCTAACCCTAACCCTAAAACTAACCCTAAAACTAAAACTAACCCTAAAACTAAAACTAACCCTAAAACTAACCCTAACCCTAAAACTAACCCTAAAACTAACCCTAAAACTAACCCTAAAACTAACCCTAACCCTAAAACTAACCCTAACCCTAAAACTAAAACTAAAACTAAAACTAAAACTAAAACTAAAACTAAAACTAAAACTAAAACTAAAATGCTATTAAAAAGGGTTGTGTTTTTTTTCCCTGACTGCTATTCCTTCTTGGACCACAGGAGGGCACTGTTTTCTCTAGGGTTGCGGAACTGCCACAGAAGAATCTTAAAATGCCATCGAAAAGGTGTATTTCTTTTTCTGGCTGCGATACCTATTTTGACCACAGGACGGCACAATTTTCTGCACCTTAGCCATAACTTTCAAGTCACGGGACGGAAAACTGTGCCCTCGTGTGGCCAAAACAGGTATCGCGGCCGCAAAAAGAAAGAAACCTTTTCGATGGCATTTTAAGATTCTTCTGTGCCGGCTCCGCAATCCTGGAGAAAACAGTGCCCTCCTGTGGTCCAAGAAGGAATAGCATAACAACCCTAAAACTCCATTTAAAAAGTTTCTTTCTTTTTGTGGCTGCGATACCTATTTTGACCACAGGACGGCACAATTTTCTGCACCTTAGCCATAACATTTTCAACTCATGGGACGGAAAACTGTGCCCTCCTGTGGCCAAAACGGGTACTGCGGCTGCAAAAATGGCATTTTAATGGGATTTTAAGGTTATTATCCTGTATCTTTATTGTTAACGTCTTATTAATATTTATTAAAGCAACGGGAGGCCCGTTTGCTGCAACAGGAACTGGAAAAGAAATCCCCTTCAAAAGCCTTAACCGGAGTTAAGGAGGCCTGTGATGGCCTATTGATATTAATAAAGTTTTAATATTAAAGAATAACAACCCTAAAACTCCATTTAAAAAGGTTCTTTCTTTGGGTTGCTGCGATCCCTGCTTGGACCCTTAGGAAGAACAAAGGAAGGAGGAGGAGAGAGAGGAAGGAAGAGAAGGGGAGAAGAAAGGTTGGAGTAAAGGTAAAGGTTTACCCAGAGCAGCCCTTAAAAAGTAAAAATGAAAAATGAAAGTTGAAAGGTCGTTTTTTACCAACGGCGATGAGGGTTGCACAGGAGGCGGACGGAAAGTTGCGCTGACGCTGGGAAGGTCGCTCCGAGAAGCGCTGGTACGGAAAAAATCGGCGACCGTGCTTTTTCTGCCTGCTATTCCTTCTTGGACCACAGGAGGGCACTGTTTTCTCCAGGGTTGCGGAGCTGCCACAGGAGAATCTTAAAATGCTATCGAAAAGGTTTCTTTCTTTTTGGGGCTGCGATACCTGCTTTGACCACAGGAGGGCACAATTTTCTGCACCTTAGCGATCACTTTGAAGTCATGGGACTGAAAACTGTGCCCTCGTGTGGCCAAAACAGGTACTGTGGCTGCAAAAAGAAACCTGTACCTTTATTATTAACGTCTTATTAATATTTATTAAAGCGACGGGAGGCCCCTTTGCTGCAACACAGGAACTGGAAAAGAAATCCCGCTTCAAAAGCCTTAACCGCAGTTAAGGAGGCCTGTGATGGCCCATTGATATTAATAAAGTTTTAATAATAAAAAATAACAACCCTAAAATTCCATTTAAAAAGTTTCTTTCTTTTGGTTGCTGCGATCCCTGCTTGGACCGCAGGATAGCGCTGTTTTTTGTCAACCTTAGCGTGGAGGCCGTTGTAGACCTTTGGACCTCAGGTTAAGGCTTTTGAAGCAGGATTCTTTCTTTTGTGTCCGTTATGTAGCTCCTGGGCCTCCCGTTGCTCTATTAATATTAATAAAGCTTTTAATAATAAAGAGACAGAATAATAATCGTTAAAAGGGGTTTTTTTTCTTTTTTTTTCTGGCTGCTATATCTGCTTGGGCCACAGGAGGGCACTGTTTTCTGTCCCTTAGCGATAGCTTTGAAGGTATCGAGATATTACTTTATCGTGGTGGTAGGCTGTGAGAACCCTAACCCTAACCCTAACCCTAAACCCTAACCCCGACCTTTGACATCCCCTGACCTTTGACCTTTGACCTTTGACCTTTGACCTCTGCCTCCCAGTGATTTACCTCCTTGCAGCAAGCAACAAGAAGAAACAGCCCATTTCAGCTTCAGCACAGCCTAATTAGCACAAGTTGATTGGATCCGCAGCCTGACTCTCAGCTGTTTTGCCTGGCCTCTGCTGCTTGCTGCAAAGAGGTAAATGGCTGGGAACAATTTTTTTTTTTGTGCTACTCAAGCTATGTTGAAAATAAAAATGAAAGTAAAGCAGCCTATTTTGCTGTAACGAGGCAAAATTGCTGACAGGAAGAGGCAGATTTCTTTTTCTTGTTTTCCTCACCAAAAAAGGGAGGTGCATCTTATAGTCCAGAGCATCTTATACTCCAAAAATTACAGTATATGCCGTTCGTCTCCCTGATAAGACGACTGTCTTATCAGGGAGACTGTGGCAGGCTACAGGCAATCTTCTCCGCAGCGTAAGAAGACAGAAGGATGCGTTGAATTTGACACTACCGATTTCCCTACGAAGCCTCTGCAACAGCACTTGCCCGCAAAACCCCCAGATTACAAGACTGGGGCTGTTCTTCTTAGAAAAAGAGCCACGTGCTGAGGTGCAGACGTGAAGGGGAGGATGCCGTTCTCCCCCTCAAAACGGCAGTCCTAACGGATCAGGACAGGCCAAAGAAAGTCTTTCCTCAAGAAATTAGCGTTAACGTACAGAATCTGCTTCCGTGGGGACCAGGTGATGGCCACCGACCTCAATGGACTGAAAGGGGGGACGATGGAGGGGACTGTTTGTCATGAGGCTACGTGCTGCCTGGGGCGATGAGGGCTAGATGCTTGAGCTGAAGGAGGCTTTCCTGTCCTACTTCTTGGGCTTTCAACCGGTCCGATGGAAAGCAAAATCCGAGCGGGCTTTAACTGAGTAAGAGGGTCAAGACTGCCGCTGGAGATTCGGAGGGCAAAGGAGCCCGGGTGGCCTAGCGGAAGAGGTGGTGGAGGACGGAGGCGGTCCCTCTGACTAGGGACGGGTGCAGGGAGAATGGGACCGAGGGGCCGGTCCTTGGAAGTGGATGGCTGCAACCGGTAAGCGAATGGGGTTCCCGCGCTTTTGAATATTTCAATTTACTGAGAAGAAACAGCTACGGTATCTTATATAAGCCGTAAGCAGGTGATGGGTCCAGCTGAAAAATCTACATGGACAAAAATGTGTAAACTGCAAAATACAGGTATAATTTTATTTACGGTTTAATATAGTATTAACAATGATAGGCAATCTGGCCTGACTATTTGCACTGAAATAGGAACAACTCCTTCTCTCAAAGTATATCCCCAAAGGACAGCTATCAGGGAGATATGCCGGTACTGGTCTGTCCCTCGTGATCGCTTTAGAGGTGCGATTGGCCTCTGCCTTGAAAGATCCTGGATCCCGGGGTCTCCCCGGTTGCTGTGTCACAGCTGGATACGCACGGATTGGTGCGTGAAGGGCCACGTGTTCCTGGGATGGCGTGGAGTACTTGTACTGCTTGCCACAGAATTTACAGGTATAGTTGCCTGTTTCTACAAAGTAAGAAAACAATTTTCAGAAGGAGAAAAGGTTTTCCCAAAAACCCTTGACCCAAACGTGGATCTCAATTCAGAGCGTAGCAGGCTAGACGTTTCCCACGTGACCTCGTGAGATGAGTTCCAAGTTTTCTTGACCGAGGGGGCCCTGGGCGCCCACCTTCGTGTTAACTGTTTCCTCTGTTTTGCCCCAGCTCTCTTTCCTGGAGAGAGGCTGAAAAGACACGGCTGCTACAGAGGCTAGACTTCCTTTTGCAGAAGTAGCGTTTGGGAGTGGGCTGTATAAACCGTCGCAGACAGCAAAGGCCAAGTCGCGCTCTCATCAGCGCTTACGAGGGGTATCATCTCAGATCGTGATCGATTTCTAGTTTTAATATCGCTCCCCACCCTCAATTTCACCCTATTCCCGAAGAAAACATGGTGACGTACTTTTTTTTATCCCAGAGGACAATACTTAGACGATATCTTCCCCTTTAATGAAGAGCTCTTTGTGAATTCTAAAATTAAGTCATGAGAAATGCAAGTGGAATGTTTTTCCTAGGTCTGAATATAATTATAAATTATAAATTATAAATAACGTGCGCTTAATTCCTTCTCTTTGCAATAAAGTATTTACATCTAAATACTTTGGCCAAATTGGATTGTTTTAACCAGATGCTTATAAAAGTATGTAACGTTAAGCAAGAATAATTTTATAATTCCCCGACTCAACCGTGTTTGTTTCTTCTCTGTGTCAAACGTGGAAGATTAATTTTTTGGTTTACTTAGGAGTGCTATTTGCAAGCAGGTTGCTTGTCTCCTGACGGATGGCCGCAGTCCGAGTTCGAGCTGTTGCTTTGCGTGCAAAAGGTCCAGGTTCACCCCTGCGTTTCCAGGGAAGGGCTGGGAAAAACCCCTCTGCTTGAACGGATGTTCAGAGCCCTGCAGCCGGTCCGTGCCGATAGTCGTGGGACAGATGGACCGACGAGCAGACCTGATACCGAGCGGCTTTCGGGCATCCTGGGAGTTATTCTGCCTGCTACGCCTTGGAAAACCTAGCGGTTGCTATCGGTGCTCCTTAAACCCCGGTGAAAGATACATCCGAGGAAGATTTTCCGACGTGTCACCAGCCGTGCCCAGAGGAATGGAGTCGGGGTCCCGCACGGGCAAAGAATGTGCTCTTTCTGTTGGACTAGTGAGAGCTTCCTGCCTTTGCCAGAAATGCTCCATCCCTGGCTTGGGCCTGAAACCTCAGCTCTGAAACGCTGAAAGCTAGTTAATGACTTAAGTGGGGCTCCTCTTCTTTCACCTCCTCCTTGGCAATCGTTGCTTGGTCGTAGGGGTCTGCGAGAGGAGAGAAAGAGGAGAGAGCTGATCGGGGCCTGTGGAAACGCCTCCCTGGCTTTATCCCTCGGGACCTGCTCTCATCCTTAGTCTTAAATAGACTAACATACATTTCACACGTGTATAGTATTTTTACTGAATATATTTTTCTTGATAATCTCCCTATTAAAGTGACTAATAATAAGATGTGTGTTTCCAATTCGGGATATAAAATTTGCACTTATTATTTCTTTTTAAAGTATGACAACTTGATTGCAAAAAACTGCAGTCGTTCTTAACAAGAGTCAGACTGCTTCCAAAAAGCAACACGACCGGCCTACCTCTACCAAGAGGCCCCGAGACTCTCCTATCCACCAAACAGGCGCTCTTTCTCCCGACGGAGTGGATTAATCTCTGCACACACCCACGGGTGCTTCAAACTGCAACACGGCAGGGCTTCCGGCTCCATTCTCCATCCGTTGAGCATTCGCCCGAATGCTCCTCGGTCAAAGACTTCCTAAAGTGTTGGAATCGTTGAGCCAGAAGTTTCTATTGGCTGAAACTTTATTGCCAAAAGTTGTATGGTATTATGTCTCTAAACTAGCTGGGTACATGTAGATAAGCGCACACACAACAACAACAACATTCTAATGGTTTCCCTTGGATTTTGATTTTTTGCATCACCCAATGGTGTCAACGGCCCTGCACAAAAGCTCCCCTCCCCAGCTTCTTTCCATAAAATGCAGGCCGGGGTTACCTGCGAAGAGCTCTAAGCGATAACTAAAGGTCCTGAGAACGGGTGCCGGAGCCTGCAGGCTTGCCTGCCCCGTGCCTCCTTTCCCTTCCCTTGGGAGGAGATGGGAAGCTCTAGTCCCGTGATGATGAACCTGTGGCATGCGGAGCCATATTGGTGGGCACGCGAGGGTTGCCCTAGCTTGTTGTGGATTTAATAAGACAAACACAACTTTTGGATTAATCAGAGACAATTTGTATATTGCGCAATAGGTTCAAAGCTCTGTACGTGAAGCGTTGAACAAAGACAGAAATTAGGTACAATGGTTTTATACCCTTCTAGACAAAGGATTCTGTTAACTCAGCAATTCATATGGTCATATACATTTGTCATTTTTAATTGACATTTCCTAATTACTGAGTTTCTTTGCAAAACAGTTATAATTCTTTTTGTAGATTACTGAAGCATAGACTCAAATCATCTTCTGACGATAGACAACTTTTAACTCATGTGGATCCCCGTGACCTAACCAACCTTTAAGCTGTATGTCATTAGAATGTTCCTTTCTTCTGACAACTTAGAGGCCTCCTAGAGGAACCAAAATTTTGGCTGAGTTGTACTTTTTCCAACCGGATGCATTGCTTTTTAGAATCGAGTGAATAGAAAGTTATCCAGTGGTCATCTATCAGAGCCCGCTTCATTTACATTAAGCTCAACTCCAGCGTGCATGCACATGTTGGCCAACTGATTCCAGTCCCACCGGAAGTCAGGAAACGAGACGAAATGAAACCCTAACCCTAAACCCTAAACCCTAAACCCTAAACCCTAAAAGATTGAACTGGAAAGGGAAACGACAGGAGAGAGGGGAAGGGAGAACAGAGGACAGGAGAGAACAGGAGAAAGAAGAAAGGGGAAAGGAGAGGAAGAAAAGGGAGGGGAAAGAGGAGTAGAGGAGTGGGGGAAGGGAAGGAGAAGTAGGAAAGAGAAGGAGAGGAAGAACAAAGGAAGAACGAAGGAAGTAGGAGGAGAGGAAGGAAGAGAAGGGGAGAAGAAAGATTGGAATAAAGGTAAAGGGTAAAAAAGCAGCCCTGAAAAAATAAAAATGAAAAATGAAAGTTGAAAGGTCGTTTTTTTCCAACGGCGATGGGGGTTGGACAGGAGACGGACGGGAAGTTGCGCTGACGCTGGGAAGGTCGCTCCGAGAAGCGCTGGTACAGAAAAAGTCGGCGACCGTGCTTTTTCTGCCTGCTATTCCTTCTTGGACCACAGGAGGGCACTGTTTTCTCCAGGGTTGCGAAACTGGCACGGAAGAATCTTAAAACGCCATTGAAAAGGTTTCTTTCTTTTTGTGGCTGCGATACCTGCTTTGACCGCAGGATGGCACAATTTTCTGCACCTGAGCGATAACTTTGAACTCATGGGACGGAAAACTGTGCCCTCGTGTGGCCAAAACGGGTACTGCGGCTGCAAAAAGAAACCCTTTTAATGGGATTTTAAGGTTATTATCCTGTACCTTTATTGTTAACGTCTTATTAATATTTATTAAAGCGATGGGAGGCCCCTTTGCTGCAACACGGGAACTGGAAAAGAAATCCCGCTTCAAAAGCCTTAACCGGAGTTAAGGAGGCCTGTGATGGCCTATTGATATTAATAAAGTTTTAATAATAAAGAATAACAACCCTAAAACTCCCTTTAAAAAGTTTCTTTCTTTTGGTTGCTGCGAACCCTGCTTGGACCGTACGATGGCGCTGTTTTCATTCAACCTTAGCGTGGAGGCCGTTGTAGACCTTTGGACCACAGGTTAAGGCTTTTGAAGCAAGATTCTTTCTTCTCAGAACCTTAAGTTTCATTATTTCAATTGACATTCTTAATGTGACACGTTCTGCTAGAGAGAAATTTCCTGAGGATGGGCTCCAGCAAGAGTCTGAAAGTTCAGATGATTAAATCTCTGGTCTCGGTGACTGACCGGATCCTGCAACGTTATCCTGGGACACTTATACTTGCCTTCATTTCTAACAAATGTTAATACGTTAAATTAAATAAGGCAAAATGTGCCTTGAGTTATGCTATCGTTAGATGGATGAACAGCTGGTTGAAAGTCATACCCAATGTATGGACAACAGCTGGAAGTAACGGCTGGGAGTAAGTGAAGTAGACTAGGGGTCCACAGCCCCGGGCGATGGCCGGTTCGGAACTGGGCCGCGCAAGTGGCAGGCGAGTGCACGCATGTGCTTGGGTCCATTCATGCAAGCGGTGGGCACACTCGCGCTTTCGTGCAAAACTCTATTTGCTTGAGCGGTGGATGCATGTGCCTGCCACTCGCACAAATGGAGCTGCACGCACGAACCTGTGGCTCACACAGAACCGTTCCCTCCCCCCCACCGATCCACCAAGCCGGAAAGGTTAGGGTTCGCTGAAATAAATATACTGTTCCATTCAAGACGTGCTCTTCAACACATATTTATCTGAGTGAGGATGATAAAAAGTATTATTTACCAAATGGTGGTGGAGGCCTGTGTGAAGCAGGGCACGGTAAAGGATTTGAGTACACGAGCTGGAGCCTGCGGAAAAAGCAAGTCCATCCTACAGTGCCTCGGCATCGGGCCACATTCTTATCCTTAGGAAGCCTTATTCTATCACTGAGCCACACGGTTGTAAAGTGTGACATCACGTGAACGCATTGCTCAATGCCAAGCGAGAACCCGTGACGGCTGACCTGCTCCAGCTGGCCTCTTCGTTCATTCTTTTAGGGGGAAGCCCCAGAAATGGTGACGTGTGACGGTGGGAACCGGGGGCGCCTGTAACACTCTCCTTTCGGTGCCGCCGTAACTTCGAACAGCGACTGAACCCCGGGCCTGCCTGCACTGCCCCCCCCCCACACCCGGTAGCGCACGAGGGAAGCAGAAACCCGGAGAGGCTGCGTCGGCCGGCCGGGGGAGGAACGGGCCGCCAGGCTTGCTCGGGTGACCCACGCCAGGACAGGGGAGGAGAACTGGGGGAATCGAGGGAAAGGCCCCGCTCGCAGCGGGGCCACGAAGGGGGACTCGAGGTTCCTTCGGTGACCCCGACGGGAGCATCGGGGACCGAAACCCGTGACAGGAAACAGGGGTAACGGGAGGTCCGTCGGGGGCGCGCACGAACCGACTCCCAGAGGGAAAAGCGCCTTGCGCGCTCCCGGCAGCGGCAGCCTCCTCGGCGGGGCTCGCGGGAGGCGCCGACAAGCGGACCGAGAGGCCGGCGAAGCTTCGGCTGCGCTCGTGCTTTTCCGCCGCCGGCGGCGAAGCGAGAGGGACGCGCCGTGCGCAATGAGGCGAGCGCGCACGCCCGGCCCCGCCCCTTTGTCTGTGGAAAAGAGAAGAGAAAAAACTTTTTTTTTTAATTGAGGAATCAACAGCCGCCATCTTGTCGCGGAGCCGGAGCGCGTCGCGGGCGGGAGCCGGGCCGGGCCAGGGCGGGAGCCGGGCCGCGGGGAAGCCGCCGCGGGGCCGCTGACGCCGCACGGACGGGCCCTTTTGCGCCTCGGCCGCCGGGTCCCTCCAGGAGGCGCTGCCAGCACCGCGGGCCGCCGCCGCCAGCCCGCCGGCCCGTCCGCTCCGGTCCAGCGGCGTCAGCCCCGCCGTGTCCGCTGCCCGTGGGCACGTTGGGCCCCGAAGGCGCGGCGGGCCGGCGGAGGACGGGGAGAACGGCGTCCGCTGCGACTGACCGCCCGCCTGACGGAGGGAGGAGGAGGAGGAGGAGGAGGGAGGGGGCGCGGGCGCCATCCGGGCACTGCGCGAGGGGGAGGGGCGCCGCCGCGCTTCCGCCGCCGCCGCCGCCACCGCCACCGGGGGTCCTCCTCCTCCTGCTGCTGCTGCTGCTGCTGCTCGTCGCGGCCGCCGAGATGGGGGTCGCGCAGCGGCGGGGGCGGCCGGTGGTGAAGCGCTGAGGAGCGGAGGGCGGCCCAGCCTCTCGGCCAGCCCCGCCACGGCGGCGAGCGGGAGAACGACGCGGAGGAGGCGGCGGCGGCGGCGGAGGAGGAAGCCGCGGCCGGCAGAGCGCGGAGCCGCGGGGGAGACCGAAATCGCGGCGGCCGGCGGAGGCCATGGCGGAGAACTTGCTGGACGGGCCGCCCAACGCCAAGCGGGCCAAGCTCAGCTCGCCCGGCTTCTCCGCCTCCGACACCACAGGTGAGCCGAGGCTGCCGGCCCGGGCGGCCTGTCGGGCGGGGAGGCCCTCGGCTTTGCGCTTTCGTTCCGCCGCTCGTTGCCCGAGCCCGCGGGGCAGCGGCTCTAAGATGGGGGCCGCAGTCGCGGGTCCCGAAAGATCGGGCAGGAGGAACCGGGGTGGGCTGGAAGGTGCCGCCCCACAAGGTCACCGGCTTCTGCCAAGCTGGGAGGCGCAGCGTGCCGGGCAGAGGAGCCTTTAGCGGCAGTCCCGGCTCTTCGCCTTTCCCTTGGACGTTCCTTGGTCCCGGACGTGTCAAAATGCCCCCCACCCCGACGCCCGACGCTTCTTTACAAATGCCAAAACATTTCCACGATCTTCCGTTGTCAACTAGAATTGTGGTTGTCTTCTGGAAGTATTTATGTTTACTTAAGTGAGTGTGCTTCCCCCGTATAGGGCTTTTAGTTGGGTCTGTTTACGAGGCCGTCTTCCGAAGAGGTTTGTGAAGTTGTGGAGAGCTCAAAAGCCTCTTTCTTTGATACACAGTGGTAGGACTTAAACTCGGAGAGGTGCTTAGCTGTAATGTGGCTTTAAAATTATTACATATTTTAGCAATTTTGTACATTACGTTATAGAAATGCGAGAAATTCCTGCTTTCCGTTTTTGGACGGTATCCCCCCATCTATAAAATGCAGGGAGGGAGCCGCTAT